TTCTTTGTAGCAGGTGAATGCTTGTATGATTGGCTAGTTTATGCAGCCATTCATTGAAATCACCATCACCGGAGGGCAGATTTTTATTTCTATTACCGTAATGGTGTACATTTTGGACGGGTTACTCAATTTGTTCTCAAAAGTTATTTTGCATCAAATAACTGCTCTGTATTATGATGTACTGCCCGGCATAGGAATTGGAACGGTACACTTGCTTATGTTTTGGATATACACTCCAACCACCACAGGTCGACCTTGACGGCTCTATAGATAAATGATTCGATCATACGTAAATTGGCAAATACTTAGGCCTACCGGGTGAAATGGAAGACAATAGCCTTTTAGGCGATTCGTCGATGTGATGTCAGATCGGACAGCGCTGACTGTGCCCTTCGCTTCTGACCGCAATACCAAGCAATGATTTCTGTAGCGTGTGTGGGGACGTCCCAATATGGCAAAATAACGATATTTGATTCGGTACAATTATCGAATCTAGATATCGGAACCATCGATATATTGAATTTGATATATATGATATATATGATATGATATATATAGGTCATCCCTTATTTTTTGTAAGATGGTAAATTTTATGGATTCAAACTCCGTTCGTTGATGTTTAGACCATAACGTTGATCCAACGGACCTGAAGGATAGGTAGTAAGTGGCAAGCTCGCAACCGTATCGTGCCTTCCATTGGTATCACTAACAGTTTGGCAAATGTAAGTTTGATAACGCTCCATTTTGTTATTGAATCATGAAATATTAGAAAACTATATCATTAGCACTCCAAATACCAGGTTCACGAATCTCGCGGTCCACAATGTTCAACCAGCTGGATCTCGGTGGTTTCGCAACCAATTTTCAAAATTCTTACCCATCTTATCTAGTTGAAACTAGATGGTGGCGGTGGTGTAGAAACTGTTTTAGCCTCGGCGGTGGCGACATCGCGACGTGACGCCGTTGACTTTGGCCGGCGGCGGTGCCAACGTTCATCGGCGTGTCTCTTTTTCTTGGCCGTAAAAATATCAATCCTCTGGCACGGCCATTGGTTCTTGAAGCTGCCGTCAGTGATAGCGGTGGCGTTGATGCTGAAATGATTTTAAGTTTCGGTCATACGTTACCATCATCATGGCTTAGCGATGAGTTTCACCCATTCGAGTATGACCAACCAATAGGACGGTCATTGATTCATGAAGCCACCGTGAACTCACTTTCATGCACTTCTTTCTTATAATTTCATAGCGCGATAGACACCCAACGGAAAACACTAATCCGGGGGGGAAGACGGCTTTCATTTGAGTACCTCTCAAATTCTCTTTTACTCAGAGTTGCTCAGAGCTAATCTGGTTTGCTCTGGGATCTGATCTAATTTGCGACGAAAACAGATTTAGTTTGGCCTATAGACATTGAAATCTGACCATGTAAATGTTAGTTCGGATGCAATATTTGAGGTTCATGGAATCCCTCCACTTCGCGTTTTCACTGGCACTGGCCATCCAGAAGTCATACAGGTGGGTAAATATAATGAAATGCTTGCCTCTCTGCAGCAGACATGTATATTAATTTTGAACTTTGTTCATTAAGTAGATCACCAGATGTGTGCCCGTGAAATTGCGATGTGGTTAAACCAAATTGTGTAGAAAATGGATTCCGTCATAAGTGTCCTTTAATAATGGAAATGATCTCGTTTTCTACCAGTTTTTCCCTTGTTCCTCCCACTCAACCCTTGTGCCATCCATGACTACTGTCCGGACTTAACTCTTCTATTATCAACTCTGCTGGCAATCATATCCTCAAGTTGAGGACCTCAACCATAACATAACGCTGAAAGAATGAAAATCCCCCTGCGACTCCTTTGCTGTTGTTGGTGTGCAGATTAGTCCTGGACACGGGCATTGACCCTCCCGCTACAGGAGGACGATGAATGGGCATGTGCCACCTGGGAAGAAGGACCAAGCAATGGGTGCAACTTGCAATTAATTGGTAGGGTCGTGATTGGACTGCTGTTGGTGAGAACTTAGGATTTACAATCAGAAACTGTTCCGTTGCATTTGTCATAGAGGTTTTTGGCTATTTTCTTAAATCACGGGCGATGGCTTTTTGGAGGACACTTTTCGTTTTGCAGTGGTAATGAAATTGTACAGGATATTGCCACCTTAATACTACTGAGCATCAAGATGCTTAGAGTAAGCGAATAGATAGATATTCCCTTCCAGCAACCAGCTCCGATGAGGACATGTACTTGAGGATAAGTCCTGCGAGTTCAAACTCCGATAAATGTGATTGCTTGGGCTGCGCTGTCAAAAAAATCGAGATAATACAACCGTTCAACAGAGAGCAAGAGAGTTCCTCAGAGTTACTCTGGATTGCTCTGAGTTTCTCACTGTCTTCCCCCTCGCACTAATCACTTGATAAATTTTTATCAATACCACAACGTTACCATGGCCGTTTAAACAAACGCATAAACGGAGCTGAAACTCATAATCTTTACATCAGCTGTCAATAACTGACGTATAATCGAACCAAAGAGCCAAAAAATCGGTTTCAAGCAAAGTGTTCTTGGATGACTTTTGTGCCACCGGAGAGAAAAATATCAGAGGTGGGATGTGCTGTCAAATCGGCCTACTGATCATCCATCAATGAGATGTTAATAGGTAGGCTCTAGGGGCATCCCACTCTAAACTTTATATATCTCGCGTTATACTCAGAAAGTTCTTACAAATACCTAAGATACCTGGAAATACATAAAAATACTTAACCTATTCTTCGGATTAGGTTGTTACCACCGTTGCTAAACACATTTTAGTTATTTATTTATCGGATGTCGTCAAGGATTTTGTGTGAATATTTGAAAACTGCAGTGTTAATATTTTAAGCTTTAACAGCTATTTTAAATATTTCTTTTTGTTTTGTAGGCATCAAGATATGGTCTTCGAATAAGAGAAAATCATTGCAAAAATGATTCACCTATAAATTAAAGTGGAGAAGAATCGTCAACGGTGGAAAAAAAACAGCTGATTATTTCTCCAATTTAAAAACGAATTGCATCATTTTCGCATTATACCTGCACTATTAAATATGTCACACTTTGATGCACATTTAGCATGATCCGTTCGAAATGTTACACGAATAAGTCAGTTTTACAATCATGGAATCTTTGCCTTCGTTATTCGTTTGGTTTTATCGATCGTTGCGTTATAAGATTAGGTACTTTTAGACCGTTATGATTTGGCCATGTAACACTAACTTAAGACTCTTAGGACTATCGAAGAAGTTGTGAAGGTTTTCCACACCATTCGCATTGTACTTTGTCGAGCTTGTAGCATCTGGAGAGTCGTATCAACCGGTGGAAACTAACGATTTAAAATTGGCTCACTACTTGATTCGATTAACGTATCCCATTCTAGTCAAAATTCTAGTACTACACTATGTTTGTTTTGATTCGCTATGAAAGTTTGACAGATAAAATGAGGGGTTCGTGGATTTTCCTATGTTTCGAGGGGTGCATCGATTAGCTTGGGACCGAAGATAGTACAAGAGCTGAGCCAAAAAGTTGAGCACGTTTCTTCAGGACCTACTAGTCTTAGAGTTACCTCCATGGTCGTATCTTGTAGCTTCCCATCGAATGTGTTTATTCTGCCGTAAAGTGCCATAATTCTGCGTTGGCCTAATTCCGGGCTGTTTTGAAAATTTCTAAAATAATTAGAAATTGTATATAATATGAATGTAATTGAACATGATGGCAGGTATTAACTACTTGTGCATGGTAAAAATATACATTTACATAAAACTGTAAAATACTGCAAAATTTTGACTAAAAACACGGATCTAGGTACTGCGCAGAATTATGGCACTTTGTCGTACATAGTAAACATGTTTTAAATGTGAACTACATTTCCTCTGATTTGGAACCCGTCAATTCTCATCTGTTAAACCATTTTTAGAGCTGGACATGATTGATAAGCCATATCTGCTATGTGTTGATGTCGAATCAATTTTTTCATTGATTCTATCAGCCAACAGCAACATTTTTTCGTTTACTAGGCTCAGTCAGGTGTGACACTTTGCGGAGCCAAAAATCAGTAATGCTTGAGTTTACATTTTAAACAGCAGTAGTTCTAGGTTAGTATTGGCTACCAATTACTCGTGGCGGGCTCGAGGTTAATGGGTAACAATTTCCATTGGAAGGAGCTAGGTAGGAAACTGGTTTCTGAAGCCTCCTTCAGATGCTACTCTCGGACGGTTGACGAAATCCTGGCTGGGCAGGGGCAAGTAGCACAGAAACAGGAGGATACTAAGACTGGGACACAATGGCTGAAACTTGTTTGGAAAGGAGGGGATGGTCAATCATCACAACTCTAACATCAGACAAACAAAGGAATTTGTAGATCACCTGCATGTAGGGAAGATCACGGGTTCCCAATACATCTCTTACTTCACGGAAGGGTTGTCTACCTCGGGCAAACAGCAGCAATTGTAAAACTTAAATTTAATCAATTTATTTTAACACATGACATGTGAATAAATAAGTATCGATTGTTTGCATGCGAGATGCAAATTGTTTCAGAATACCACTGCATGATCGACGCAACACTTGGTTCAGTTCGTTATCAGTTTGATTGTATCGACTACACACATTCCTACTACCGAGTGGGAGAATCAACCACAGCTTAGCACGAGATTGGAGATGACAGGTGGGTAGGAACTAACGGTCTCCCAGTGTTGGTGAGTTCTTTGCCGTTAATGTTCACGAAAAGTTCACTATTTTGCTATACAGAAATTCAAAACAAAAATTTTTTATCTGCAGATTTGGACAGTTTTTAACCTGTTTCATACGACCGGAAGGTGTATGCTGGTCACAAATGCCGTGCCAAACTGATTTCCTACGCAAGTAATCAATCTTTGATGTGAATTTCGCTAATAAACACGAGGAGCATTTCTTATAGCAAACTTGCCATAACAAAATGGGCATGGTTCATTTAAGTAAACAAACTAACACTTCTTCCGTCTGTGGCACCTCTCTTACTCGCCTGGAGGCAGTAGTTCGTACCATCTTCGTGTAGTTGGAGAATTTGGCTACATAACCGTCGATGAATGAGGATGTTGTGATAGCAGTAGCAAAAACTGTCACAATCTTCCGTCGTTCCGTGTTGCTATGATCAGTAGATCCGCAGTACTGTTCAGGAACAGGCCAATATTCCTTCTCCTTCTGCAACCATTTTGGTCCTCTCCACAAGAGTTTGTTATGGATGAGATCCGATGCTAAGCAACCGCGAGAGATGACGTCAGCTGGGTTTTCCAGACCTGCGATGTGGTTCCAAACACAGTGCTGAGTCGCATGCTGAATCTTGGAAACCCTGTTGGCAACAAACGTAGTCCAAGCAGATGGAGTAGCCTTGAGCCAATTGATGACTGTTGTGGAATCAGTCCAGAAAAACGTGGTGAAGGTGATCTGAAGAGAAGGGGTGATTCGTTGGTACAACTCGGCGGAGAGTAGAGCACCACACAGTTCGAGCCTAGGAGTGCTTTGCTTCTTCAGCGGGGCGATTCTGGACTTGGAAGTCAGAAGAGCAATTTTGATTTGTCCACGGTTGTTGATTGACCTCAAGTAGGCGCAGGTGCCGTATCCAATATCGGAAGCATCCGAGAACAGGTGAAGTTGTGTATCGACCGAGTTCGCGAGAAGAACGAAGCGATCTATTCTCAATTCGTTTAGTGAAGGAAGATTGGAGTGATAGTTGATCCATTGATTTCGTAGACTGGTTAGTTCTCGATCCCATTCCCAAACCGCTCCGTTATTATCCCGGAGAGTCCAGAGTGTTTGCATGAACGCCTTGGCCATTACGACGACTGGACCGACAAGTCCCAACGGATCGAAGAGCTGGGCAATGTAGGACAGCGTTAGACGTTTCGTGAGTACGGCGTTTGGTGGTAGAAGTAGATCGATTTTGTACTTGAGACGATCGGATGCTGGTTCCCAGTGCAAACCGAGCGTTTTGATCGTTTGATCACGATTGAGATCAATGGAATGCTGAAGAGCACGGTTTTCATGCGGGATGCTCTCTAGAACGCCACTACACAGTTATCTCAGGCGATGACTGTTAGACGAAGGAGAGTCGATGTGCCGATAGCTGGAATCGGAAAGTCCTCTGCTAATGTGAAGCACCAATTTCGAGCCGTCATCAAATCCCGACATTCGAATTACTTTACCTGTGTCGATTTGCTTATTCTGTCCAAAGTCACTATTGATCTGCCATCGGTCAACTTGGACATCGATCATTGGAGCATTCCTGCCAATATTGATCTTGCCGATCCTGGCTTTTTCAAAACGAGCACTATCGATATCGTGTTGGGGGCAGAAATATTCTTCGATCTACTCTCCGTTCCAGGACTACATCGATTGTTCAAAGTTTTAAACAAAAACAACCAACCAAGTAGCTTCTTTTACGTGTCGCGTTCTGGAACGATCGAGCTGTATAAGTCTCGCATGAAACGCTTCGATTCAACCGGGATAATCTATTTGCCACTACGGATCAGAGTGATAACGATGGTAGTGTTTTTGCAATCCTAAATCACCAGAACCTTGTCGTTGGTGGTTCCAATTACTAAAACTGGGCAATTTATGTTCAAATGAAAACATCGACTACTAGCAAAATGTTAATTAAATTACTTTATCAGTCTAAATTAACTCCGTTTTCCGATGTATGTTCCCCGAAAAGCGTATTGCAATCAGTGCAATTTTCTACTGCAAAAGGTTCGCTTCATCGTCGTAGTTCGACAGGCAAATACGCAGCGTAACCCTGGTATCCTTGACGTGTATAGGCATATCCAAGATCTTATTCTTCTCCATACTTGCACAGCTTGTGCTAACACTCTTGGTTACATTCTTGGGTCTGCCATGTCAATCAACGGTTCCTTGTTTTCTTGGGAATCTGGAACAGCTCTGTAAAGGAGTGCAAATTCATGATAGCGCACTGGAAAGTCTGCTCAAAACTAGAGAGGTTCTAGAACCTCTCTACTCTAACCCATTAGTAATTCAAATAACACACTATTTTCTACAGTATTAAATATCTAAGGATATTTGAAATACATATACCAATTATTATTATTTTATCACTATTTCATAAGTGACGTTCGTTCTCCCGCAGTTTAAATGGTTGAAAGAATGTGACGTCAAACTCAGTCACCCATTTCAACAGACGGAGAACGAAAGAGACTACAAATTCACTGGGCCTCACCTGCTTACACTCATGGATTTTCCATTTGTGAATTTGGCTCCAAACATCAACAAACCAACGTTGCTTGTTGTCGTTTGGAACCAGTTATGCGAGCTAGGCGATGATTGTTCGTATTAATGTCAAATTTTGGTAACATAAATGAATGTTTGTGTTTGTGACATGTTATACACAAAGCCATTTGAAATTTGTTACCGAAAACACCATCAATCCAGTATCGAAATTATGTTTAAGCGTTTGGATGAATGTTCGATCTTTGTGAAGATATTGTACAAACAATATGACCAACAATCTTAGTTTTGAATTTCTTTGTTCTTTGATGTGTCACATGATGGGTTTCGGTTTGAGACTCTTACCATTTCCCGGGAATATTTGGAACGCGTCCAGGGGTGGCGGATGTGGTCCTGGGCACTGGATATAGCTGCCATGAGTCGATTTGATCATCGGATTCTCATGTGAATTGAGGTGTTGCTTGATGTGCTAATGTTTAAGTCCAGACTTGTTTTACTTGCCCGGGGGAGTCCGGAATATATCTGGTATAATATGGATCTTGGCACTCGAAGCGGCTTGTTTTCAATGTGTTACGTGATATGCGTTACATAATCTGGCCACTTCCATGGGGGTTCCCTGCAGGATGCTGTTATTGAACATGCGTTTGAAGCCAGCATGAAAATGATAAATCTAAGCAACTTGTTAGCACAGGGACATCGACTGATTGAACGGTTGAATTGGCAACCCGGCCGTCTGAACATCACGACACGAGCGGTGAGTCTACGCGAGACAGACTTTCTGTGTCGAAACGTCAGTCTGCAGAAACGAAAAAGAAAGAATTGAACCAGATACACGCGGGTGAAATTTTTACTATAGAACGTTAAATTAGTTAATCCTACTAACATCTAGCTTAAACCTAAATTACTTCGGGTAGTTAAGGTAAATTTGATGGACTTCGTGAAACTTAAATACTTAAATAAGAGTTACTTCTACTTAGGATTATACAGCAAGTGGTTGAATGGTGACCTGAAAGGTCATTCGAGCAAAAATCGCCACTGTAAGGCCGTTCGCAATGCTGAGTTTCAAAACTGTTTTAAACTACTCGACAATTCTATAATTTTAAACTGTCAAAAATAAAACTGCAACACGACCAGCGCAACGCACAGTTCAAAAAGATGTTTTTAATCATCATGTTCCATAAACTTTACTATTCTCTATGAAGTTCTCCATTTTTTTTGTGAAGCTCTTCGAAACATCTTTAAATACATCCAAAGTAATTTTAAACAGAGTTCCATTCGTGTTTCAAACTCGCTCAAAAATAAAACAGAATAGTCGAGCAGTTGCAAATCTGGTGCAAAATAGTGCTCGAATAATGAAACTGCAACTCAGCATTGCAAGAAGTGCGTTTCTGTTCTAGTTTCAAATTGAAACAGTCCTTATAAAATACAACAGCATTGCGAACGGCCTAAGTTTTCTATTCTAACCTAAAAACAACTTGTAAAACTAAACCAAAATCAAATCACAGATTTGAAGCACACACACAAAAATAAATATATAAGCTGTTCGGATATCAGTGCGGGCCTTTAGGCCGGCGCACAATAGATACGTTTTCAGGTTTTTTTGACAGTTAGCCCATGCATTATGTGTCAAAAAACCCGAAAACGTATGCATTGTGCGCCGGCCTTTTCACTTCTCAGCGATTCAACACAACCTGTTAATTTTTCCATTTATTCAGAATAGGATTCTGAACCAAAACGTTAAATCTGATTAAACTAGAACCATAGAGGTAACTCTAAGACTAGAAGGTCCCAAAATAACGTGCCCAACTTTTTGGCTCAGCTCTGGTATTTTCTTCTGTCCCAAGCTAATCGATTCACCCCTCGAAACATAGGAAAATCCACTAACCCCCCATTTTATCTGTCAAACTTTCATAGCGAATCAAAACAAACATTGTGTAGTACTAGAATTTCGACTAGTATGGGGTACGTTAATCGTTTGCTTGGGACTAATAGCATAGAGGTAACTCTAAGACCACTGGGTCCCGAAGAAAATCATTATTATTTTTGGCTCACTCAGTACCAGAACAACGGTCCCAAGCAGTCCCAAGCTATTTCACTCACCCCTGCATGTTCTGCATGAATCCACACACCCCTGATGTTATCTGTCAAACTTTCATAGCGAATCAAAACAAACATAGTGTAGTAATAGAATTTCAACTAGAATAGGGTACGTTAATCGTTTGCTTGGGACCAATAGGCTACTAAAGTGGTGAGCCAATTTAAAATCGTTAGTTTCGTATTGATTGTTGCTAATAGGCTAGTCAAGTAGTGAGCAAATTTAAAATCGGTAGTTTCCACTGGTTGGTTGTAGTATACCCCTGGTTCCCGGAACGCGTTTGATAATTTTCATTATGGTCCTAGGCACTTTTTCCATAGAGGTAACTCTAAGACTAGAAGGTCCCGAAATAACGTGCTCAACTTTTTGGCTCAGCTCTGGTACTCTCTTCGGTCCCAAGCTAATCGATTCACCCCTCGAAACATAGGAAAAACCAATAACCCCTCATTTTATCTGTCAAACTTTCATAGCGAATCAAAACAAACATTGAGTAGTACTAGAATTTTGACTAGAATGGGGTACGTTAATCGCTTGCTTGGGACCAATAGGCTAGTCAAGTAGTGAGCCAATTTAAAATCGTTAGTTTCGTATTGATTGCTGCTTTTTCCGCCAATGAAAGATATTGTTTTTGAATTAAAGCTTAAAGCTTAACATGCTTGTTTTAATTTATAATTCGGTGTAGTTAACGGGAAATTATGGCTTCGGCATCCATTGACTGTTATCGACAACCGAAATTGAAACGTTAATTTCACTGTATTTTCCCATCAAAACTCTTCGCTGAATGTATTAAGCCAATTCCTTACCTTCCTAGCTTCAACCTGATTACATTTTTACGACTGTGCAATCCTGTTATGCCATATTTTTCTTTAAATGAAATATACACACTACAAAATAGGCTGATTTCGAGTTGCCGATAATAGAACAGCTGGTTAACACGCAGTTCAAATGGAAAGTGTGCCGAAGAAAAAGAGATTGCCGACAATAGTCATTCTCACCTGAGAAGTTTGGAGCGTTGTAAAAACATGTTCAACCCGTTTTGATCAATTCTGTCGATTGGAATTGGTAGAACAGCAAGCAGCAGATAAATGTCAACAAACAAACCTGTCATGTATGTGTGTGACGCTGAGAAATCGCTAATAGAAGTTCGGACGCTGCTTAGATTGACGAGAATACGTAAATTCCCCTAAGTGAAACAAATGAATAAAATAATTGATTTTTGTTTCGTGCACACTACGTTGAGCGACGTCACGTATTTGTATACGCAAATGTTTTCATCAGGAAAAGTTTCACTTATAGTGACATATTTTCCCTAGGGGTATCCCACTCTAAACTTTAGTACTAGTATACACTGGAGTCGCTTTTTACGCGGGTGATACGTCCCGCGTAAAAAAAAACCGCGTAAATTCCGGAATCCGCGTAAAAAAAAAACCGCGTAAATTCCGAAATCCGCGTAAAAAAAAACCGAGTAAAAAAAGACCGTGTAAGAAAAAACCGCGTAAAAAGCGATATACCGCGTAAATTCTGAAATCCGCGTAAAAAAAAACCAAAATCCGCGTAAAAAAAAACCGCGTAAATTCCGGAATCCGCGTAAAAAAAACCGCGTAAATTCCGAAATCCGCGTAAAAAAAAAACCGCGTAAATTCCGGAATCCGCGTAAAAAAAAAACCGCGTAAATTCCGAAATCCGCGTAAAAAAAAACCGAGTAAAAAAAGACCGTGTAAGAAAAAACCGCGTAAAAAGCGATATACCGCGTAAATTCTGAAATCCGCGTAAAAAAAAACCAAAATCCGCGTAAAAAAAAACCGCGTAAATTCCGGAATCCGCGTAAAAAAAACCGCGTAAATTCCGAAATCCGCGTAAAAAAAAAACCGTGTAAAAAAAAACCGCGTAAAAAGCGACTCCAGTGTACATTAAATATGTTTAAATCTCTTATAAGTATTCTTAAGTATTTTAAAGTATTTTTAATCTTGTATAATTTCCATCGTAGTTACCGGTTGCTAGTGTTGTTGTTTGTTGTTGTAAGCCCCGTCAATTTTATAGTTTTTGTCACTTATGAAATGAAATTAATTCTTATAATTGCAATAAAATCATGATAATTGGTTTATGTATTTCAATTATGCTTATCTAATAGTGTAAAAAATCGTGTGTTATTCGAATTACTGATGATTTAGAGTAGAGAGGTTCTAGAACCTCTTTAGTTTTGAGCCGACTTTCCAGTGCGCTATCATGAATTTGGACTCCTTAACAGAGCTGTTCCAGATTCTCAAGAAAATAAGGAACCCTTGATTGACATGGGAGACCCAAGAATGTAACCAAAAGTGTTAGCACAAGCTGTGCAAGTATGGAGAAGTATAAGTTCTTGGCTATGCCTATACAGGTCAAGGATACCAGGGTTACGCTGCGCATTTGCCTGTCGAACTACGACGATGAAGCGAACCTTTTACAGTAGGAAATTGTACTGATTGCAATACGCTTTTCGGAGAACATACATACATCTGGTAAAGTAGTTTAATTAGAATTTTGCTAGAAGTCGATGTTTTCATTTGTACATAAATTTTCCAGTTTTATTAATTGTAACTACCAACGACAAGGTGCTTGAGGTGATTGAGGATTTCAAAAACACTAGCATCGTTATCATTCTGATCCGTAGTGGCAAATAGATTATCCCGGTTTAATCGAAGCGTTTCATGCGAGACTTACACCCCTATTCTGTATTTCGTTTCGAACGAAATTCTCATACAAAAAAATATTTTTTTGTATGAGAATTTCGTTCGAAACGAAATACAGAATAGGGGTGTTATACAGCTCGATCGTTCCAGAACGCGACACGTAAAAGAAGTTGATAGGTTGGTTGTTTTTATTTAAAAGTTTGAACAATCGATACTTATTTATTCGCATGTCATGTGTTACAATAAATTTATTAAATTTAAGTTTTACAATCTTTGCTGTTAGCTGATAGAGTCAATTAAAAAAGGGATTCGACATCAACACAGCAGATATGGCTTATCAATCATGTCCAGCTCTAATAATGGTTTAACAGATGAGAATTGACGGTTCCAAATCCGAGGAAACGTAGTTCATATTTACAACATGTTTAATATTTATGGCAAAGTGGCATAATTCTGCGCAGCACTTAATTCCGCGCATTTCGCTAAAATTTTGCGGTATTTTACAGTTTTATCTAAATTTATATTTTTACCATGCACAAGTAGTTAATACCTACCATCATCGCCGGAGATGAACCAGCGTCTGGCTGAAAATCTCCTTAATAAAGACAACTAACCAACCTACTATCATGTTCAATTCAATTCAAATTATATGCAATTTCCAATTATTTTAGAAATTTTCAAACGAGCCCGGAATTAGGCCTGCCCAGAATTATGGTACTTTACGGCAGAATAAACACGTTCGGTGGGAAGCTACAAGATGCGACTGTCCAGATACCACAAGCTCGGCAACAAGTAGAATGCGAATGGTGTGGTTTACCTCCTCAACTTCTTATTCAGATTCGATAGTCCTAAAGGCCCACGCACATTAGATCCGGATCGGACGCGTTGCGGCGAAGTGACAGCTAAATCTATTGTCTAACTGTCAAATTTGCGTCAACGCAACGCAAACGGATCTAATGTGGGTGGTCCTTAAGAGTCATAAGTTAGTGATACATGGCCGAATCATAACTTTCAAAAAGTACATAAAACCTGACTTCTTCCTGTAACATGTCGAACGGATCATGCTAAATGCGCATCAAAGTGTGACATATTTAATAGTGAGGTATAATGTGAAAATGATGCAATTCGTTTCTAAATTGGAGAAATAATCAACGGCTGTTTTTTCCACCGTTGACGATTCTTCCGCCCTTTAATTTATAGGTGAATCATTTTTGCAATGATCTTCTCTTATTCGAAGACTATATCTTGATGCCTACAAAACAAAACGAAACATTTAAAATAGCATAACATATTAACACTGCAGTTTTCAAATATTCACACAAAATCCTTGGCGACATCCGATAAATAAACAACTAAAATGTGTTTAGCAACGGTGGTAACAACCTAATGAAAAATAAAGGTTAAGTATTTTAAAGTATTTCCAGGTATCTTAGGTATTTGTAAGAACTTTCTAGGTATAACGCGAGATATAAAAAGTTTAGAGTGGGATACCCCTAGTATTTTCCTGATGAAAACAAATCACCGCCACAACCGCACTTTAGCAATCTCTATGGTGTTGTTAGTTGTTTATATCTGTGATAGTAAAGATGAAAAATTGACAATACTGCGTGTTTTAAGTGCTGGATACTGCTGTTTGTTCATGGTTGTTTTTATTGTGTTGAGCAGAAATGATGAAGAAACTCCGAATCGAATCCAAATTAAAATAAAAAAAAAACATTCGTCAATCCTGGCATCGTTGGTCAACTCCGTCAAACACCGCGCACCAAGGGGCAAGTCACTCAGCAAGTCAGATTCGGCACAGCTTGGGCACATCCATCGACACAACATTACGTGCTGTTTGACTGTATATCCAGGAACATCCTCTAATTGAACATACCAGAGGAACTCAGACCAGCAGTTCACATATAGATCTAAAGGGTGATACGGTCAAAATTTGGTCAATATCAACTTGACGTATTTCTTTCAATTTTGCATTTAAAAAATCTGAACACCCCTCATTTTGAAGGTGTGTGCGTGTAGAATGTTGCTCCTATTTTGATTTTGGAATTCACTCTTCAGTTGTCAAAATGCCGTCCAAGCAAGAAGAGCAGCGTATCAAAATTTTGCTCGCGCATCGCGAAAATCCGAGCTACTCGCACGCAAAGTTGGCAAAATCGCTAAAAGTTGCCAAATCAACCGTTACAAATGTAATTAAAGTGTTTGGGGAACGTTTGTCGACAGCCAGGAAGTCTGGATCGGGGGGAAATCGAAAACCGGAAGCCGCTGAGACGACAAAGAGAGTTGCCGGTAGTTTCAAGCGAAACCCTAACCTCTCTCTCCGAGATGCCGCAAATAAGCTGGGTGTATCGTCTACAACCGTGCATCGAGCCAAAAAATGAGCCGGACTATCGACTTACAAGAAGGTAGTGACTCCAAATCGCGATGATAAACAAAATACGACGGCCAAAGCGCGATCCCGGAGGCTGTACACGACGATGCTGACGAAGTTTGAATGCGTGGTAATGGACGACGAAACCTACGTCAAAGCCGACTACAAGCAGCTTCCGGGACAGGAGTTTTATACGGCAAAAGGAAGGGGAAAGGTAGCAGATGTTTTCAAGCACATAAAACTGTCAAAGTTCGCAAAGAAATATCTGGTTTGGCAAGCCATCTGTACCTGTGGCTTGAAAAGCAGCATTTTCATAGCTTCCGGGACTGTCAACCAAGAAATTTACGTGAAAGAGTGTTTGAATAAACGTCTGCTGCCTTTCCTGAAGAAACACGGTTGTTCCGTACTGTTTTGGCCGGATTTGGCATCTTGCCATTACGGTAAAAAGGCCATGGAGTGGTACGCCGCCAACAACGTGCAGGTGGTTCCCAAGGACAAGAACCCTCCCAACACGCCAGAGCTCCACTCAATTGAGAAATACTGGGCTATTGTCAAGCGGAACCTAAAGAAGACCAAAAAACTGCTAAGGGCGAGCAGCAGTTCAAGGCAAACTGGCTTTCTGCGGCGAAGAAGGTGGACAAGGTGGCTGTACAAAATCTGATGGCAGGGGTCAAGCGTAAGGCCCGGCAATTCGGATTTGGAAAAGCGGAAGCCTAACTGAATATTTTTCCTGAATTTTATACTAATTGAACTTGAAAAAGAAATTTAATTTGATTTTTTAAATAAACGATTTCACCGATTTACACGCGTTTTCCCTTGACCAAATTTTGACCGTATCACCTTTTAAATACGAAATGTAGCTTCTAGCGTGGGTTCGAGAGAAAGAGGCAGTTAATCAGACCCCATTAGTACCTTTAATTCAAATAATGCTGCAAATCACACAAAACAAACTAAAGAAGTCTATTCATCATCCTCTATAGTCGGTCTCTAACAATGCTCCCCACCGGTTCCAACTCTTTCCGGCCGCTGATAGACCGATGCATTTCACATCACGAAAAGCTAGGTTTCTTGGTCTGTCTTTGAGGGCATTATAAAATACTAAAACACAGGACTTTTATTCAGGCTTGCAATTGCTCATTACAGCTAAAATGCTATTTTTCGGTATTATGAAACAATGGGATACTATAATGATAATTTTCATTTGTAAGATGCAATAAGAGGTGTTTAAGTTTGTATATGACATATTAAAATTTGTCAATTTTGCTTTCAGAAGGTCACAACTAGCGATTTTATAATCGCTGATTGCTCGCTCATCGCGTTGCTCATCGTTACAGCTAATCGCTATTGTGACCCTCTGAAAGCTAAATTGACATGTTTTATGTGTCATACACACACTTTACCTTCTGTTGCATCTTGCAAATAAGAACTATCATTAAAATATCTCATAGCTTCATAAATCCGAAAAATAGCATTTTAGCTGTAATGAGCATTTGCAAGCTTGCTTTTATTACCCTATGAACACGAAACACCAAAATTTCGCACACCCGTAGCTTCCCGCGTTATCCTCAATCCGATTTATCGTGCATAATTATGTTCTCTTTATTATATTGATTTTTAGCCGTAGCCTAGTTCATCACTTATCGTGCCCAATTATTACAAAAAACTATAAGCGTATATTAACGCGTACGTTGACAGTGGAATTTCGTCTGTAGGTCATCATAAAAACCATAATTGGTGGCTGCTCATTAGTCCCAGGATTGGGATATGTACCCTTTTGCTGTTTCAGTTACCGAACTTTCCATTTAGCCATTTCGAACTTCCGTAGATTGTACTTCCAATAAAACCCCTCTTTCGCACCCACCCTTGTGCACGCCAGTGGAGAGACACATCCAGTGACAATGAGCAAAAAAGAAAAATTGGCAAAAAGATTTCAAACACAAGTACCTACATTCTTCATTTTGAAGTTCGCACAACAGTCACAACAGCAGTGTCCAACTGGCAAATTGTCGATAATAACAAAAGCCTGTTTGATCGTTGCCAATATAAATTTCCCTTGTTACCGACGTGCGCTCCTAGCAGCCCCACGAAGCGTGCTACTGCCAGTGTTCAGTGTTGGCCTAGACTTTGTCCCTGTGCAATAATAGTTCCCAACGACTTAAGGTTTGCTGACTGATATGTTTCGATCCTGGTTGCAACGGAGCAGGTTAGACCTATTTAACATATCACCGCTGGCTGCTGATAGTGACTTAGAACGTGACTTGATCGTTGCGGTCGGTGCTGGTGGTGGTGGTGGTGGGAATAGTTGTTCCGGATCGGTTTTGTCAAACATGGCACCGATGGAATGTCATACCTATGTGTGCATGTTGTTGATAACACCGGGTCTCCACCGAAACCTGATGACGGCCGTGAACTTGGTGGCCGAGTTCTCTTTGCTCATCGCGTACCTCGTCAGTGCTAATAAACACGAACATACTTGACAAGTGGTAGCTGCCCTTATCGAAGAGCCCTGTAGCAGGTCTACTTACGTTACTAGTACGGGAGCTGCACGATCATGCTTGATGTACCGTGAAAATGTTGCAACACGCCTCCGCCATCATCCATGGTGGTATGCTAACACGCGTGTGCATTGCGGTGGTGGTCACTCTCGTTTGACCATCATTATATTGTTATAATCGTAGTCAGTGTTTGAATTATAGTACTTATGATGTTTAAAAGCGACGTCTGCCGGTTCCATGGTTAAAGTCCGAGTATGAATCGATGTTTAACTTATTAACAGCGTGGTCTAGATTCCTTTTTTTTGCTAAATTAATATTAGCTGGTTATCGATGTAAACGTTTATCGTCGATTGGTGGTTGATGGTAGCGGAAGCTTTCCGGAGCTAGTTAGTTAAGACAGTTGACCAGAAGGTAACGGGCAGTGCTGGTGTTCGCACAAGTTTGGCGGGAAAATTGCAATTACTCTGAATCGCGTGCTTTTGGTGAAACTCTAACCGTGTGAAATTAGTCTACTGAGTGGCGCAAATACTAAGTGGAAATCTTGTTATTATGTTTGATTTTCTAGAGATGAAGATTGCCAAACTGCAGCGTCAATGGGTCCTGCTGAACTCGCTGGTGTTCCTGCCCTGGATTTCGTGTAACAGTGAGTATTGATTGAATTAGTTTACTAGGGTAGATGTAACAGTAGTGGCTATACGTTTCTATTATGGCGTGTTTCAGCTGTGGCCCATATGCCATTATTGAAAACACTTTAATAGTGACGAATATCCATGACTGGTACATCTACCCTATACAGTTATGAATATTACAGTTGATTAGATGTATACTCTGTTTGAACTAATTTGACTGTGGATAAGCATTTGGTGGAATTTTAAAAGTACTATAGGTCGGGGGAAAATTGAGCAACGCGCTTTGTAACTAATAATATTGACATGAATTCATTTTTGTTTAGTGATTTATCGTGGGAAATCTAGAACAAAATTATGCAAGTATTTAATTCTGCAGATCAATTTTTGCTGCATAAATGTTGTTTCTATTCGATTAATATTCAATAGCATGAAGAATCAAACTTCAAACGTACGATCATGTGACTGAAGCAGCGATTCATGCTATCATTTTAAAAATGGAATTAGGTGTTTCATACTTCCATAATATTCCCCAAGTATAAACGAGGTTTCCTGAACTTCTTTTATTTTTTCAAAGTATTCTTTAGGTTTGATTGGGTTCTTTGGATGTCTTAGAAGTAAGGTAAGTGTGCCAGTTTTGGCATTAGCACCGATAAACAGACGCAGCACTCACAATCACATTCTTCGCGTGGTCTAGCAGTCATTTCAAATAATGTTTTAGTTAGGACTGTGCTCTCATATGTCCTGTCGGCTCCACTGAAGCGGTCAGCAAGGGAACACATTTGGAACTAACAGTGATGCCAGTTTTTTTTCAAGTCAATGTCGTAGATGTCATAACTCTAGGGGCTAAGGCATCTCTCTGGGGAAATATAAATAATCTAATCTGAGTACATCCAAACAGCTGCACATTAAATTGTAGATAGAGCCAACTAGAGGACCACTAGGGCCAAAAACTAGTGCACTTACCCTACTAGCAGTTTCAGGCCGAATAGCGAAAAAATAAACACAGTTCAGGTTTTACCTCACAGAATTCCATGAAACTTCGCACAGTTGTTCCATAGAGGTGTTTTTGGCTCAGCTCTGGTACTATCTTCGGTCCCATGCTAATCGATGCACCCCTCGAAACATAGGAAAATCCACGAACCCCTCATTTTATCTGTCATAGCGAATCAAAACAAACATAGTCTAGTACTAGAATTTAGACTAGAATGGGGTTCGTTAATTTTGCTTGGGACCAATAGGCTAGTCAAGTAGTGAGCCAATTAAAAATCATTAGTTTCCACCGGTTGGTTGTTCGCTGGGAGCAATGAACCAAGTTTGTGCTTGAATTTGTCTATTTTCACGCACACCTAATTTTTTTAAAAGGCTTTTTCGATATTTTTCAATAAATCATAGCACGAAAATGGCTCATCTAATCGAAATAACTTCTGAAACAAAGTTGTAGCACAAATGAAGTGATAGGCGGAGCGGCTCGAAAACTTTGGTGACGAACCTGCTATTGCAATTTTTCAGTGTACCACATGGCAACACTACTACTGGATTTTACCACATGGCAACACTAAATGCACTCGAATGTGTTGGTTCTATCTCTTTCACTCTACTCAGAACTGAAATGCATAAAAAAAAAATTATAAAATGACACACTCTTTGCACACAAAATCAACTTTGTTCAAATCAAAACAAAAATACTTGCCATACTTGTGGCTGATATCACAAGCTTCTAAGCAAATTATATAACAGCGAACTAAGTTAATTGATTTCTTCGCCAGTTAGTCGTCTATCACTTCGTTTGTGGTTGTAGGAAGCTGGATTGCCATTTCAGCAAAACAATACACACTGAAAATAAACTTCATTAACAAGAAAAGTACATTCTTAAGATTTTTAAACTAATGTTGATTTGAAAGCTTATCAAAAATGCTAACTTTTTGGAAATAGATAAAATGACAAAAATAATAAAACATAAACGCAAAATTTTTAAAAAAAATTTTGCGTCTTCTGGACAATACATGGATTGCTAGTTTTTGAAAAACTGCCAAAACAATAAATTCTGATAAGAATTTTAAGACATTTATGGGAGCATAGAGAAGGATTGCAAAGTATAATTCCATGGAAATTTTTGGAGAATACTTGAGGAAGAATACAATTCAAAGAATTCTAGAAGAACTTCAAAGAAATTCGAAGGAAAGCTTCACAAGAGTAGTGACTAGAATTCCGAACTAGTTTTGCGGAAAATTCAAAGGAAATAGTTATTAGAAATGTAAGTGAATTCTGACGAGAATCCAAGGTAGTTATGAGTAGAAATACAAGGAAGAAGAACAATACAAAGGAAATTCTGAAAAAAAAATTCAATGAAAATTGTAAGGGAATCCCGAGGAACAATTCTGCTAAATTATAAGAAAAATTAATTGGAAATACTTTGGTTTTTCAAGATGTATTCCAAGGCAATCTCGGTGATAATTTTAATACCCCGTACTATGGCTTATATCATGTAATACATTCCCTCATACATCTAGTTTTCACTGGAAATCCTATGTAGGAGTGCTCATTGCAAGACAGTCTATATTACATGATAAGCCATAGTCGGTACGGGTTATAAGGGTATTAATAGGAGAGTTGCAATGGTATTTTAAGGAGCATTTGAAAGAGGATAATTTTGTGGGAATTTCGGTAGAGCACTTAGTCAATTCAGTTGGCTAAAAATCTCCTTAGTCAATGCTGCCAAGAATTCCAAGAAAAATTTAAGGTGATTTTTTTCTGAAAATTCGTGGGAAATATGATTCAATATTCAGTATTTTTCAAAATGTGTAGAGAATTACAAGGTGAATTTAAGAAGTATTGTGCACAGAATTCCTAGAGTATTATGGATCAAATAACATGAGAAAACTAGGGAGAGTTCTAAGCTGAACTCTATTGTTTTCCTTGATTTGTTTTCCGTCGATCTTGTTGTCCGTACTGATTACTAATGCTACCGTGCTACCGACTCCAGCGAGGCAGCTCCCACATCTAGACGCTACCTATCGACCCCATCAACTCATGAATCGGGGACTTTACTTCCCGTCCGAAGGAAAGCATGATCAGGGTTTTTATGCCTCAGAAAATCCCAACGGTGCCGACTGGGATTGAACCAGCTGAACTCTACGTTTTGAATGGAATAAAACGGCCGAATGAGATTCGAGAGCGTATATTCAGTAACGCTTCAAAGTATTCAGTTTGACTTATTTAAAGAGGCTGAATTTCTAAAGAGATGACATGTCAAAATTGGAATAATCGATTATCTGTCAAAGTCATAGGAAAAGTTATGCCAATCGAGCAGAAGACCTGTCCAATGGATAAGATATCGCCTCTTTATCCAATTTAGCATTACCATAGAGGTAACTCTATGACTAGTAGGTCCCGAAGAAAAGTGCTCAACTTTTTGGCTCAGCTCTGGTACTATCTTCGGTCCCAAGCTAATCGATACACCTCTCGAAACATAGGAAAATCCACGAACCCTTCATCTTATCTGTCAAACTTTCATGGCAAATCAAAACAAACATTATGTAGTACTAGAATTTTGACTATAATGGGGTACGTTAATCGATTTGCTTGGGACCAATAGGCTAGTCAAGTAGTGAGCCAATTTAAAATCGATAGTTTCCTATTGATTGTTAGCATTACTCTGTTCAAACAATTCTAGATAGAGCTGAAATTAGGACCTAACAGCTTTTGTAAACAATGACTTCTCTTGGTGATTTCTAGAAATTCAAGGCTCACCCACGTAAATCAACATCCTCATCGTGTAGGGAAAAACTTCCCCTATCCGATGGTTAGGTTGGTCTGCGAGGACGTGCCTTGAATTCCTAGAAATCATCGATAGAAGTCATTTTTACAAAAGCTTACCTTACCTTACCTTAGTCCTAATCCAACAGCTACAATAGATCCTTCCTTTCGAAAAAAAAACTACACCTCAATCTACACTTCAGACCAATCCGTAAAACTAGAAACTTTTAATAGTGTTTCAATCAATTCACAGCGAGTACAATCCACAGGCTCAATTCTCGTCGAAATAATACGATAATAGAAAATTATGTTGAATGCCGAAACTCAAGCGTCGTTTTGTCCGTTTGACATTTATGCTGAAAGGGCGCTCCCGTCATAGTTCATCAGCAGTGCAGCCAACTCCACGGCACCTATATCAACACTATATGCAAATTCTAGTTCGGAGGAAATTCAACAGTTAATTCTAAAACTAACCCTGTGAAGAATTCCAATGACATCCAAACCAAGCAAACATAGAATCATTTTCAAGACACAGACACAGACAAATTAAGGCTTGAGACTCGGGAGAAATTAGTCTTATGCTAGGAAAAGTTTTCGTTATTAAGAAAAGTCTTCACGATTCGGGGAGTTTTTCGGTATTCAGAACTTAAAAAGTAAGTACTTAGGTCATAGGACATGGATAAATTTCCAAGAGCCTGCAATATAATATGATTTAAAGATTCATAACTATAAGACAGTCGATTTAAAAAAGTTGTGATGCAATTTACTAAGATGAAGTTTTGAAACCTTGATTCTTACAGCTAAATTTCTCTTTATTTGAAATATTACCAGTTAATTCAACATTTTGCATTCCTCTATGTTAAAACCTTTTTACGCCCTTGGTTCCATAACTGAATTTATCGGTGCGTTTACAATAAATGTTAGTTACAAATGCATATATGTTTGGAACTATCCTTACATCAATGAAAAAAATTCCTGATCGCATTTAAAAACGGGTCCTTGAAAAATCTGTGGTAGATTCTCATAAATCGAGATTGTGTGTTCAGCCCAAGAAATTCTTCAAAATTAGCAATTATAAGTGTGTTCGTCACTCCGCATTTGATTAGTATTCTGAGAGAGAGCTCCCAGAAACGGTTCTGGAGGGGTGTTACTCCTGCCAGAACCTCGAGACTCATGTTATGCGTTGAGTGCATACAGCCTAGAGCAATACGCAGACAACGATATTGAATTCGTTCCAATTTTATTAGGTGACTTTTTC